TGCATGGGGGGGCGCCAGCATGTTCGACAAGCCCCCCCGACGGGGTGGGGGGGGATGAAGTATGGGATGATGGCGCCCCCCCTTTTAAGGGTTGCCAGGGTTGAGAAACACTGCTATAGAGCTTTTAAAAAAAGGAAAGAGCAGGTCCTTACCCAGATATCTCACTTAAGGAGCTGTCCAAGGTCTGTTGCATTCATAGGTTGGGTTCACACACGCACAAATTCATAATGTGAACTGCTTGGTTTGGGCTTGGCGTGAGTTCCGCGAATCCAGCCTTTGCAGCTTCTAAACTATACTTTATGGCGTAACCTGTACCAATTCAGCCAGCGGTGGCTGGTTGAATCCGTGATGAAGTAGGAGCATACGCAGCCATATTCTGCCTCTCAGAGATCCTCGTGACATTTGGTTGGCCCCTGTGAAGCAGAATACTAGGCTAGATCGGCTTTCGGTCTGACCAGGCCTAGTTCTTAGCCCATTCTTGCAAAATAATAATAATAATAATAAAATTGTATATTAATGTATGAAAGACAGATGTACGCCATCTAATTCTGTCATTTTTTAAAATAGTATCCGAAAGCAAAAACTAAAACGGGAAAATAATAAAAATAACCAGGATAACTACAGTAACTGTAAATATAGCATCCTGGTGGGAAGAAAGTCCACTGCATCCTCAAACTCCCATAACGCTGTTATTTATATACCACTAGTTATTAACCACTATAACTAGTTAGTTATTTACCACTTCTCATATCTGAAAAGCTTTTGCCCGCTAATCAATCAACGCACGATCCTTATTGTGATTTACAGCATGGGTACATAGATTTGCAGAGGTAACAGTCAACCATCAATCAGTAGCCCTAATCTTAACCCACTTTGGAGAGTACTTGGAAGTTTTGGCTGGTACAGAATGCAGCAGCATAGGCAGTTACGTGTGTTTCTAAAAGAATACACGTTATACCTCTGCTGCGCGAGCTGCATTGGTTACCAGTTTGTTTCCAGATCCAGTTGAAGGTGGTGGGTTTGACCTTTAAAGCCCTCCATGGCATGGGACCAGGTTACCTGAGGGATCGCCTCTCCCCGATTTCGTCTGCCCATCCCACCAGATCCAGCAAAGGGGGTATGCTGCGGGCCCTGTCCGCTAGGGAGTTCCTTTCGGTGGGACCCGTGCGGTGGGCCTTTTCTGCTGTGGCCCCTGCTTTATGGAACATCCTTCCCTCCTGAAATGAGGTTGGCTTCATCCCTTTTGTCCTTCCAGAAGTCCCTCAAGACCTGATTGTGCCGTCAGGCCTGGGGACCCCAGCGGACTGGCGAAATAGTGAGGTGGCCCCACTGTTATTAGCAACTGCTCTTCGCCCAATATTTTTTATTTTTTTCTTTTAGTTTTATACTTTATCATCTTAAAGCTTTTAACAATAACAGTATTAACAATTGTTTTGTATATATTAATTGTTTTTTTAGCTTTGTTGTACGCCACCCAGAGTCACTTGTGTGTGAGGTGGGCGGCCCTATAAATTTGACAAACGAACAAACAAACAAACAAATAAATACATTGGGGGGGAAGCGCAAGGCATGTGAGGTAAGTGGACTTAATTGATGTGTGAAACTCACTGCTGAGCAAAAAGGTTTCGGTGGGCAAGAAAGGAACAAGAGCCCCCCATAGCTGGTTTTTTTCTGCATTAATTCATTTTCTGGGTTTCACAACACACTGAAAGAAACCAGCCAAGCTGGTCCACCCAACGCATTAAGCCAAAATGAAAGCTCTCACCAGCTCAGTTTTACATGGTGCGCAAATGCTTTAACTGACTCGGTTATTTTCTTTTCTGTCTTTCTCCTCATACAGAGGGGAGTTCCAGCCATGAGCCCTGAAGGTTTAAACCAATTTCCCTCTGCCCCCATCCCTACCTTAAGCGGGCTTCAGATGGCCATCTCTGTCACAGTGAGCCAACAGCCTTTGATGTCTCCTGCGCCACCAGTTTCCATGCCGCTTAGCATAGGACCGGCAGTGGTGGGGATCAACGTGGCAGCGCCAGTGGGTGGGGCCACCACACAGGTTTCCAGCAGTTTCATTCAACCTTTCCCTGCAAACCAGGTTGGTGCTGATATATTCCCCATCGTAAGGTATCCTTATTCTTGGTTTAAGGCAGCTTGTTCTTTCAGCTCTTTAGCTTTATTTTAAGCCATGGAATTCAAGCATCTGTCTGAACGTATTATCCAGACCAACTATTTTAGAGCAGCTGATTAAAAGAAAGGGAGACAGACTTGTGCAGAAAAGTGACCTTTTGCTTTTCAAGGTTTATAAGTTTTTATCTTGAACTGTAATAATTCACTGCAGAATTGCTGACTGCTTCATATTGTTTTATTGTATATTTATACTGAAGCGAGGTAGCACGAACCATGCCTATAAAATAGAAAAGCATTAATACAGAATATATAAATAAAAGAATAGGGTTGCTTTCCCTAAAAAAATGTGGTTCGCCGCCTGGAAAAAGCTGTCATGTCTCCTACAATCCAGGTTGCAAAAGGAGACGATGATGACTTCCAGGAATTCCAAGATGCTTCTAAGTCAGGGGGACTTGATGACACCTTTACAGATTTTCAAGGGGAAGTGCCTGGATCAAACAAAACGTTAGCAACACAGCAGCGGAGCAGGTACAGAATTTGACCCTCTCATGTAACTATCAGTTTTTGTATAATACTTTTTAGTAAAGTAGAGAAGATATAGACCAGGTCACTTTAGGATGTGTGGACTTCAACTCCCAGAATTCCCCAGCCAGCCTGCCACACATCTTAAAGTTGCTGAGGTTGAGAAACACTGGACTAGGTTACCATTCTTAGTTGCACTCGTGCCATGTGCAGTATTCTCAGCTAATGGTAAGGATGGTAGCAGTCAGCTTCAGACACATTGGCCAGTATGCCACAAGGGCAACTAAATCAGATTTATCCCAAGCATGCTTATGCTATTTTATGCAAGCTAGGATCTCTAATTTAGAGACTGCCTTGCAAACTAACCTACTGTTACCTGCATTCCACCATTTACATACTGTATGAGGTACATGCGGTGTACTAATGCACACTCAGAACCCAGATGATTATCAGTGAATGTTAAATTGATTGTATGATGCAACAAAGAGGGTGGAACTGCAGGTGACCTGGGATGAGACAGGTCATGTGAGGTATGCATGATTTTCTGCTCTGGTCCTGACTCCTTTAGAGCAGATGCATGTCCAGGTCAAGAGGTTATAGAAGCACAAATGCTGCATTTATCTTAAAGTGAGAATAGCATTTATTCTTTTATATTCACTAAAAGCAGGGGCAGACACTCTTTTGGAGACTGGGAGAGCAGTTTCTGACAAAGAAAACTGGAAACTATGCCTAGGTTTTGTGGCAATGTTTGGCGGCTTAGTGGTTTCAAGAAGAGGACCCACAAGTTGCCTATGGACCTTAGATTACCCATCCTTGCCATAACCACTATGTGTGCAGTGTATGATGACTCATACAACCAATTTAATAGAATATCTCTAGCTCTGTAGGGTTGAACTATGGAGTCCTTGGTGCTCTCTGAGCTTGGTGGTTTGCTTGCAGATGTTTCATTACCCAACTAGGTAACATCATCAGTGCTAGTGAGTGTGGGGTTTGCTCCCTTTTATATACAGTAGTTTGCCCTGCCCCTATTGGTCAGGGTGTGGTTTTCTCCTTGGTAGTTCCTTGATTAGGGCAA